GACAGTCCCAGGGACAGGGCTAGGCTGCATCACTCCAGCCCCAATCATGCAACAAATTAACCCTAGAGAACTCAAGTTCCCTACGGTGCTCTAAAGTGGAGTACCTTCATCTGATACCTCATCTGATGAGGGCTAATTTGTCACATGATTGGCCACTTTAAAGGCGCTCAATCAGATTTACCCAAAGAACCATTTCTGCTGCTATGCACGTCACAGCACAGCTGTAGAGCGCTTTCAGAGTGCTGATTGCATGAAAAACTTAACTTCCGTCTGTGCCCCTGTGTCCATGAATACATTGGTAAATCTACTCTTCCATTCTTCTGCCTTTCTGGGCTACTGAATTTGTGCAGCAGGAGAGGGCTACCCCCACATAGTCATGCTAGCTGTACTTTTCCTTCATCCCATGATGGAGAATTAGGGTTTCCATGGCAAGGGGATTCTTCCAAGGCCTTTCCCAATAGGATGAGTTTCACCCTACAGGTAGATAGAACACAGCTGACACATTCAGGAGCGCACACTATTATAAAAGTAGATGTGGACTTAACTGTAACAACCACTGCTATCTCTTTGGGAAATCCTTTAAATTCCAGTATGAAAAACACTCAAAATTTGCCCCTTCCAAAAGTTCTCATTATTGGGTGCAGAGACTGCTTTAATACATTGCCCTTGAATAACTTATACTGTCCTACTACAAAGTATTTGGGAAGCTAAAAGGAACAAGTTAATTTCATTCTGTATAACACCAATTTACTGTTGAAGAAAAGTTAATGTATATAACTTACAGTAATAAAATCAAATAACAGCAGATCTCCAGAAATGCAATACTATAATGGGAAGTATGATATACAGCTAAGACAGTTCTTGATTAAGTTGCAAACCATTTCCTCTCACTTAGGGGAATGAAAATATAACTGTAGAACTGCCCCCGAGGCATGGCCTGAGATGAATTATTTCTTTTTGTTTTAAGTGCAACCAGAATGTGATTCTGCATTTTGCTAGATGCTACACAAATTAATGAAGTCCATTCTCCCAACAAGTCTATAAAGCTATTCCAACTTACCTAGAAAAGGCAGAAAAAAGTTTCCAAGAAATCAGGGCTGTTTAGAGGGCCAACTCCTCATATTTCTAATAGAAAAACAGATAGAAGCTACAAGAGGCTCCTACTTTTCTATGTAGGTTTACTCTGCTTAGGCAGATGTTCTGTGTCTTAATCTGAATTCTCATTAGGCCTGACCCAACTATGATTAGAGACCCTTTTTATTAATATGGCAATTGTATTAAGCAGAATGGAAAGATCACCTGTGGTTTTGCAGAGGCAGGAATTCATTTGAAGGATCTAAAGAAATAGAAAATACTAAGAGGGGTCATTTCTGCTGTAGCTACTGTAGAGCGCCAAGTCATATTTCACAGTTAACCAAACATGAAATAAAACATATAAACATATTTCATTTTAAAAGGAACATTTTATTTTTTGGTAGCTTTGTATATAAGCTTCAGCCTAGTTAATACAAACCATGCACAGCAAGAAGGTTAACATCTGTATCTTGTGTATTATACCATTGCCTCTAAAAACACTGCTTTACAAGTCTTCAAACATACCAAACCAAAGTAGTCTTTGCACAAAAACACTGCATTCCAAATGGCAAAAGTACAAGTGTAAACCTTGTCAGCAAGTCATATACAAACAGAATATTTACCTTGAAATGCAGGGGTCCACACTTCCAACTCCTGCCTCAGCTTAGTCACAGTGAGTAAGGACTACTCAGACACAACAGGTTTTGCAGGATTAGGGTCTATTACAAAAAAATTCAATATCCTATATAAAATTAACTGTAACTTCTGAGCCAAATTCTAGCCTCACTTTCTTCAATATAGTCCACTGACAGCACAGATAGAACCAAGAGAAGAATATGATCAAGTCAATATTTCAGGGACACAGGTTGTAGGAGGCAAAGGAATATCTAGTTGGTCTAATAAAAGATATCACCTCTGCCACAAGTTCTGATTCTGAAGTCAATATAATACACTAGGGGTTGGTGACCTTTCAGGCGTGGTGAGCCAAGTTAGCATAGCTCATTCTGAGGGAAGACTGCTGCCAGAGGCACAACTAGTAAGGTTTGCCTCCTGTGCCAATGACCCCCTTCTCTGTCCTGCTCTGCTCAAGCTGCTTGTTGATCCCCCAGCCCTTCCTGCTCTGTGCTGAGGTCTGCTTTCTTATTACCTTCCTTATCCTCGCTGCCAATTACTATAGACACCAACCGGTGCCAAGGACAAAGTTGGTAGTAAGACAAGCAACAGATACAGTAAAGAGGCATGACGGGGTGGGAAGGGGAAAGGGGACAGGCAGACAGACCACCTGACTGACCAGACAGGACTGGGGCATCAAAACACAGCCTGCCATTGGTTGCTGCTTTTGACCCAGCCATTGCTCCCTTTGCCACCACAACTGATTCCCCCATCTGCTGACATCCCAAGGCATGCATGTCTGCAGGCCAATGAATGGGCCAGATCTGGCCAATGGGCCATAGGCTGCCAACCCTTGCATTATACCAATATTACATCTTTCAATATTGCATTATATACAGTTGGCATTCTTTTGTAAAAGCCAACAATAAAGTCTACAAGAACCACTTCTGATTTTGATTGTCAAGCTTAAGATAGTTTGAACTTGATTTGCTGTAGTGCTCAGCACATTAAACTCCCATTAAAAATTAAAAGATGCCAGAGGGTACATATTTCTGAAATCAGGTCCAACTTCTTCAAGTCAGATCCCATAATTAGAGATCACTTTGGAAAATGTTGGCCTAGAGCTTTAAATATATCTCTGATTTATAAAACACACAGTCCAAAGGTATTATAGCAACTTTAAAAGGCATAGAAATTATTCCACAATTTAAATTTGATTAGTCATAAATTTGATAAGGATCTGTTATTAAGGTCCTTATCTGCATTTACATGGCCTCTTCCTCAGGGATCTTCTAAAGATCCTCCTCCTCAGTCAGATGACTTAATCTGGTCCGAATAAATTTTAACACAGTCTGTGCAAATTACTCATATTCTTTCCAATGCATGACAACCTTTGAAAGAGTTAAGTTCATTCAGTATTTTGAAGGGCTCTGATCACATTGTTTCTGTTTAATAAACCCCTTTAGAAGTTGGAAACTGAAATCTATATTCAGATATTTCCTCCCATTTCATTTTGAATACATCTGTGTGTGATCATCATGTCTCCTTGCAGTGGTTGGCCCACCAAACAGTTGGGACTTCCCTTGCACTCAAATGGCAGTGGCCTGTACTTTTGTTACCGTTCTCCACTACCTGTTCTCACAACTCATGATGAGGACAGGTTCTCTCTCACACACAGAGGAATTTTATTGTGGGGGGTGGAGGGAAAAGACATGTATGAATTAATACATGGATTTTGTAATCAAAAAGAGCATATAAAAGTCACATTTCTGCCTATCAACTCCAACAGTGTTCTCTGGAGAAGCTAAGCAACTGTTCAAAGTATAACTTCAGAGTGCCAAAACTGCATTGTTTCACAGGATAATTCTTCCAGCCTGCGTTTAATAAGGAAGGTTCCATTTTATTGTTAGGATTTTGTTTCCATGCAGAGAGAGTCTCAATATGTTTATTCCTCTTACAGAGAAAACAATCTCATGTACTTTTTTATGGCACAGAAAGTTTTTTCTTCAATACAATGTATTTTTCCATCAGGTAATTATTTACAAGGTCTTTTGTTAACACTGTGGATAGGGTTTTGCTTTGGAACAGAGCGAATATATTCTTGAATAACTTTAATCGGTCAGTGATTTCCCATTACAAGAGACTTTTTCCCTCCTCCTCTTCCCCCCACGCCCATCTCCCAGCTAAGTATATCCTTGTGTAGCTCATGAGTTTCCTTTGCCACTGATGGTCCCTTGAATAATGCCATCTTCAATGTAATGACCAGTGGCATCTGTGCTTCTGGTGAGCACAGTTGAAGGAATCCTTGAAGAGCATCTATCCTGACTTTTATCATCAGAAGAGCAGCAGATCATCCTTCTCATTGTGGTTGACATCTCTTCATCTTTGTAAGAATAAATTATTGGGTTCATAACAGAGTTGAGCAAGGCCAAAAGAAGGAACCATCTTTTCACATGCTGAACCCCACAATGAGTGCAGTTCAGACCATCAAGAAGCAAAACTACTAGCCCAGGAGTCCAACAGACAACAAATGCACCTAGGAAAAGAAAAAAGGAAAAGTATTTCAGACTTTGATAAATTCTAGCTTTGGGCATGCAAGCATATTTGGTATCCTCCAAAAACATCAGGGTTGTTAACAATATACACAACAAATTGTAAATAGAGAAGAAGAAAAGGTGATCTCAGTAGCTAAATTACATCTGGCAGTAATTTCTCTGAAAAAAACAACTCTTATAATTTAGTAGGTTAGGACTTGGAAGGTTACAAAGGGCAGGAATTAGGAAGCAAAGGCTCGGATGAAAGCTGTATCAGGCAATTACAACAAAAAACTGCTCTGGCAATAAAGAAATGGTGGCAAAGAATTCTTTGGCATAAATAAAACTGACCCTAGGAAACTGGTGCTTTGGTAAGATGGCAACTCTTCTATCAGGATTTAAATACAAACAGGTTCAAAATGACCCACCCACCCAGGGTACAGTGCCTTTGTACAGTATCATCCACCAACACTTCCTGACACTGGCTTAATATGGCAATAATCTGCCCTCTCTCTCTCCACTGCCTAGTCTTTTGCGTTTCTATGGCTAACGGGTTCTTCCCATTAGAGGAAAGGTTACACACCAAGTTCCTCCCCATCTCTTCAGCTCCTCAGTACTAAAAGCGTAAGGCAGACGGATCAGCCAGCCACTGAGCCAATAAGGGAGTTTGTATGTCTAGTTTCTCTACAGAAGGGAGACCAAAAGTAAATCAGAGGTAAAAACTTTGAAAATGAGGGGAGGTTTGAGAAAAAGGCACCTGAGGGCCAGTTAGGAGATGAGACTGAGAGAGAAAGAATCAAGTTTTGAAGGGAAAGAAGTAGAAGAAAAAAGAGAGGGGGTTTAAAGCAAGAGATAAGAGTAACTAGCGGGAAAAGAAGGGAAACAACAGTGAGGAATGAAAAAAGAGAAAATGCTCAAGAGAGAGACAGAGAAAAGTGCGTGAATGAGGGATTATTGTATTGAAGGGAACAGGAAAACAGAAGAGATATGCAAAGAAGACACCATCATGTTGTACCTGTTTGGCAGTCGAAGTGCCAAGATTGGAAGTAGCAGCAGGCACACATGGTTCTTCATGGAAGAAGAGAAGAATAGCAGGACCCCCACTTAGAGGGGTGAGATGTGAGCAGTAGGACCAGTGGAGATGAGAGCCCCTTGGTGGAAAAGTGAAGAACCCACAACTACTTCCCTCCATCAGTTTTATGCTCTAAAAAATAGATATCAGTATGAAGTGAGGGGTGAGACAGAAAAAACGCTCAACAAAAAAGGAGAGTAATGGCCATAGACAATGACCATGTTTTTTGCTGGTGGGTACTTGCAGATGTAAAAAACAAAAAACAAAACAAAAACACAGTACTTTACTTTTAACTCAGCACGTTCCCATGCTGAGCCCTGTGTACACACAAAAGAGGCAGCACATTACTTCAACCCAGCTCTGCAGCATCTGTAAAGATTGGGCACTTAAAAGCACCAAAAAAGCTGCACTAATCTAATAGAAGTGCCAAAAAAGCCCTGCTGAAGTGCCCGATCTTTACAGACACTGAAGAGCCTGATTGAAGTAATGCGCTACTACTTCTGGTAAAGCGTGGGGGGGTTTTTTGTTTGTTTTGGGGGGGTTGTTTGTTTTTTTGTTTTTTTTTAAACATCTGCAAGTGGCTCCATGGGTGCTGAGCACCTGCTTATTTTTTTCAGTGGGTGCTCCAAGAGCACTCACAGAGTTGGTGCTTATATGGTAATGGCAACATGAAGAAAGAACAGAAATGCGAGAATAAGAGGCAACACAGTAATGTAAATCAGACCCATGTGTCAACCTCCTCCTGTCCAAAGAGGAAGGGTACCCATCTTGTTCAGGGGAGACGGACAAGATCTTCAGACTGACTACAGCTTATGGGTCAAGAGGGAGGGAGGAAGGGTCATGGTAACAGCCCTGTTTCTTCTCCTCCCCCAACACTGGTCTGTCATTCTTTGCTTCTGAGTCCACGGAAAAGCAGCTGTGCTCATGATAATACTAACTTACCACAAGCCACAACTGCTGTCTGACTTACAAAAATAGAAAACGACAACTCTGCACAAAAAAGTCACGATGTGGACAACAGGCTGAAGAAATTCCACTCATTTATAAAGACACATTTGCTCCTTTTGGGGCTTTAAAAATCAGCAAAGTAGTAAGTATCTTAGCAATTATTTACACAGCCCTGTCAAAATACTGTCTTGGTGGTCTTCGGAGCCGTTCAACAGCTCTGATATTAAAAATAATTTCATTTTCATAATATCACTGGTTTTCCAATATATAAATTGTGTAATTATAATATGAAAGATGTAGTGCACAGCTAATGTCAACAAATGGGAAACACAAGAGTCGAGATTCAAACAGTAACATTACATTTACTGCACCATGCATCCATTGCTACCCTCCACCATTTGTCATCGAAGGAACAGATTTCAAAAACGATTAGCACCCCTTCATTTTCAAGCTTGCTTGGGATCTCTAAAAAATAAGACTGCTTAAGAATGCAATTCAAAAACTTCAGTATATGTTACAAATTACTAAAAAAAATGCAAATAGTAAAAACAGTATGGAACTCACTTGTAGGTTAGATTGCAAAATATGCTTACAGTTTACCTTCCATCCTACACTGTTTTACTAAGCAAGTGAACAGAATTCATTCAACAGATCTGTATTCTTTTTTAGGGAACATACTATAAAATGGAAAGATTAAGAGTCATTACTTACCTAAGTTAAGTATTTAACCCAACTGTTGCTATAGTCAATATTTTTGTAGCACTATTAGTTTCATAGGTTACTTACAAATTATTGGTTAGTATCAGTAATTTGCAAATGCTGATGCCAGGGTCTTATAGTTAAATCTTTTAGAAACGCCATCAGTGCCAGAACTGCAGCTCAAAACATTAACTCCTGTAATCAACTCTGCGTGATAGACTGGTTCAGCTCCAGAAGCTTGCGTAAACAGTTGCAACACCAACTCTCATTAAGAGTATACATTGTAAGAACAGCATAAAGATTAATTGCACCAGGATTTACCTCAAGCCCACTGAAGTCAATGGAAAAACTGTTGACTCAGTGGGTACTGGAATACATCCTTGAATACACGACAACAGTATAGGACATTAACACCAGCTCTCTGCAAGTACTTGAGTACTCAGTGAAGCCTTTTATAAGTTATCAAAGGTTACTGGTTGAATGCCAATGCACTGACTGTCAAAAACGTTAACACTGTACAAGATGTCACTGTTTGTGTAAAAAGATTTTTTATCTTATTACTTATTCTCTTTATTTCAGAGTGTATAGAGCCCAAGTCAATAAGAACAGAACATTGACCCAATCACTGTATCTAGGCTTTGGGCAAGCTAACCTATGAAAAACTCCAGGAAATGCAGGCAAAACTGTGAAGAGTTTAATAGCAAGTACCGGATGTCACAATGACATTTGTAAGACACTTCTCTAGTATCCACTGTGCTGTGTACAACACTTGCACTTCCCCTTATGGAAAGCTGGGGCTCTAAACATTTTACCTAGCTAAGGATTAAAGTCTATCGTACAATACATAGTAAGGGACACTATCATAATTACTGGGCAGCTCTTTCCAGGGAGCATTTCTTTGGTCTGCCATCACTAAAAATACATTTAATCACACATACAAACAAGGTAAGATTCACACCCTATTCTTAACAAGTAACTCTCAAAGGGTTCTGCCCAAACAGATTCCCTTTCTAGCCTTTTTTTCTATTTTTGCTTTATGAAACACAGCAGTCAAAACATTACTTAAAATATGGAGCCTAAGCTATGGCTTATATTGGTCTGTTCCTATGATTTTCACTGCACAGGCTGTCATAACATGAAGTATATCCTGCCTTACACAAAACCATTTTTTAAACTTCTCAATTGGAATTAAAAGGTTTGGGTGCCAGGGCAAGTAAGATGACTACATACAATATGAAAGATCAACAATGGATCGCGTTGTTCTCAGGTCACTTCGGGATCTTCCTCCACTACACTTCAGATAATTTTCCTGTAGATTTTAATCACCCCCAACTGAGTCCCCCTAAATCTAGAAGTTTTGCATTTTTTGAGGCTTACACTTGTCCTTTGCCATAAAGCACTCTGTATATAGAGATTCTGTCATCTACAGTCTATGTTTAGGCAAAGGGAATTGCACTCAGTTTTAGCTGCCTTAACCACAGGTGCATTTTTTGGTTGAAATGGAAGGACAAGTAAATTGTTCAGAGTAAAAACCCTTAACTTCTTGATCAGATATATATCACTAAAACAATGGCAAACTAGGATAATCCACTACTTGCATTTCACCTGAATGAACAGAAAAATCATGTACTGACATGCCTGGAATCCAGTGCTGCCACAACGATATTTTTATCAGCACCCAAGTTAGCTAGTTTAAAATTGCTTCAGTTCATCTCCAGGAGTTGCTGTCATCCCTTCACTGAAGCATGGACTTACCATGTGTCCCTGCCAGCTTGGCCAACTAAATTAAGCTCAGCCAGATGACACCATTTACCCCCAATTAAGCCAACTCCTCTTACCCTTCCCCAAGTAACAGCAACGTATCAAATTGGTCCCAAATTAAAGAACATGCACCCAACCGCCCACAAAAACCATCTCACACTGTAGGAACCACTGAGATGAACAGTTTAACACTGAACAATGACTGATCATAAACAGCATAGGAATATGAACTCTTCCTAAGCCTTTACTCTTAAATAGGAACCTAAAACCATATCCTGGGTACAAGGGTCCATGTAGTAGCCTGGGCTAAGACGTGACACCCCACACTGGACAGGAGACTGGACTGCAGTGGAAGTGTCCCCCCACCCCTGAGGGCTTTCCATACATGGGGAAACCTAATCAAAGACATGAGTGGAATCCAGGTGGTGTGTTTTAAAAGAAAAATCTGTTCATGCTGACATCACAGTTAGATTGCGCAGGGGGGGGGGGGAGAGATTTTTTTCCTTTACTTTTCTAAACCTT